TTGTCTTTTCGGCTCCCAAGAAGTTGGTCAGCCTTTGTGGCCTTCATAACCGTGACGAAAAACCCCAAAGGGTGTAGTAAGCATCGAACTGTTTATGTCCCCTGCATCATATGCGTTGTTTATCGCATCCCGCTTTCTTGTGGTAAGAGTACATTGGACAGATGGGCCGTTGCCTTAATGATCGATTAAGAGAACATTGTAATAATGTGAAAAACGGCCAGGGGAGTTGGTTGGCCATACATTGTGAATCCTGCGGCTGCGCGCCGATATTCAATGCATGCACAGTTATCAAGAGAATGTTCGATAAGCTTACTAGAGAGATTATTGAGGCTGAGGCTATCGCTTCACTGGGGTCTAAGTGCGTCAGCACTCCCTCTCTTACGCTTAGTGATAAAGAATTGTATTTTCTAAGAAATTAATTTTTTGTGCGCATCTTTCATGTCATGTGATATTTTTTTTGTGATATAGGCGAGGCGTGCGGTGGTAATAAATATTATGTTGGAAGTTAGCGCCTGTGCTGTGTGTCCTCTTCTGTGTCCTCGTTTTTTAGCGCTATTTTCAGTCGTCGCTACCTCATTTCTTGCCGCAGTGCGAAGGGTGGTGGTGTCAGCTGATCGTCCGTGTATCAACAATGCTTTGCACAATCCTGTGCGAGCTATAGAAAACTGCGTCAACTAGAACTCGCGTATCAACTGAACGGCACTTCGAGATGATTTGTGCCGAGCCTACCTGGCGAATTTGTCGTAATAGTTGGCCACTAGAGAGTAGCGGACCGAATGTTTACTGTTGCGATGTTTTGCAAGCATATTACACTGTCGTCATAACTTGGGCTGTAAGCATCATGTAGCTGCTTCTTCAGTAGAACACAAGCATTTAACTTCCCATTAAGTAGGGCTTGTGTCACAGCCATGATCAGACTCCAACAGTGCGCAATTTGCTGTACTCGGATGTTGCAGGTTCTATCAGCGTGATCAAAACAAGGATATATAAACGAATACATGCATATGCTTTTTTCAACGTCAGAATTTTGAAAATTTGTTGAACAACAACGTCGTTCGGACGGCACTGGTGAAGTGCAGGAGAAGTTAGCGAGGACTGTAGTCGTAACTGCATATTTCATTGCTCTAACCATTTCGCTTCACTGGTTGGCGGTATGCGGCATTTTGTAATATTCGCTGTAATTGAGCTGCATGCGATGCACAAGAAAACCATGTTTTCTTTTTTATTTCAAGCTCACTGAAGAATATCATACAATAAATACAATCAAAGCGACTTACGAGCGTGAAAAAAAACATTAACGCACGACGGGACGGGAAAGTGCGACTCGCTGTTCGTGAGCTAGCAGCTGATCGTTCATCGTCGCTGTTACTCTCAGCGCATTGACAACCATCTACGTCCAGTGAAAAATCCTCGACGTCAAGGCGCTTCTTTGAACATCACTGCTGAAAGTAATCTGAGGAATTCTCTCCGCCGAACGTCTTCGATAGCACCAACAAGGCATCATTGCACCGTCCTAACACGGCGTCACTCACTACGTTTATCTGGGGATGCGGAGAACATTTGCTCCGATAACAGGCGAGAAAAAAATTGCTTGTATTGTGCTGCCATCTATCAATGAGTGTAAAAAACAAGGGGCACAGCGTAGGCCAAGGTTTGGAAGCGCTAATTGTGAGCCTGCGCTACTTTCCGCTTGCAATGAATGTTATGGGATTCATGCACTACAAAAGCATTGACGAATGCTATACGCACGTAAAACAAGGTGAGTTTCAGCTACAAAAGTTAGACAATAACATTTAACTATCCAACGTGGCTGCAGAAAATTCTTGCGAAGCTGATATGTGTACTCTGCGGGCTATAATCGAAAGGGCGAGTTGCCGCGTATTTCCGCGAAAACTTTGCCTCTCGAAAGAATGAATCAGATCTATCGTGTCACGGACGGTCTGGTATATTCACTGATGCACACAACATACAAAGTGGTTTGTGTTCGTTTCTTGCTACATGTTAACACTGAGGCTAGCACCGCCGAACAAGAGAGTGTTGCTCCTGAATTCCACTTGGCGGCGTGACAGTCTATGAGCATTGCGAATAGTCTCCTCAGTGTTGGCATTAGTATCAGTGGGATCGGGAATTGCATTGGTTGCAGAGGCCACCAACCAAGCTCTCTGATGCATTCTTCCCAGCAGCAAATGTCTTCATGCCCTTTGTGTTGCAGCGCAAGAATGTCCTTGTGTTGAGCAGACTGGATAACAGTGCACTTGTTCAGTGAAAATAACCCATCATACATGCTCAGTTTCGTACCTTCCAGTATGGTGGTAAATGGGCTAGAAACCACGGAGTAAGAAATAAGAGGAGCAACCGACTGCTTGTCCGGAAGGTACACATTTTGTAACGCCCCTTCATGCTTCGTGTTCGTCTGCCAGGTGGTGCTACAAATGGAGTAAAGTGGTGGAGGATCGTTGCTATAGCAATGGCATGGACGCGCGTTTGGGCTGCGTTCATGGGTCTGCTCATCTATTCGTTTTGTCGCCTGCTTTGCGCATGCCTTATGTATCCTCCCAATTCTTTCCTTTAAAGAGCAGGACTGTTGCAGTTTGCGGATCGGCGTTATGATAAATATAACCCAGCGTATCATTTTACTTCTTTTATTGGAAACAGGCCAAATACCTGACATCTTTAACGTGGACCACGAAAAATTATACAATGCCATTAAAACGCACATAAACATATAATGTATTCATGAACTTAATACATGAGGTAATATTGTAAAAAGTGAGCTTCGACCTGGGCACAGAGAGTGTCTGTTGTCGCTTATAGCAGTAGAGCTGCTCGCGCCGCTTTCTGCCGCACATTGTTCGTTAGAAGGTGCACTCAAGCTGTTGTCTTTTCTTAGATCCTTGCCAGGCAACCAACTGAAGGAGACCCCTCATAGGCAATGCTGAAAATTTTTATTATCTGGGCAAAAAAGGCACCCATTCTGTATGCGGTTGTAGACAAATTTATGTCCTCTGGCTCTTTGGCACCGGTGTCTGATGGTTCCTCCTGATATTCAGCATCATTGAGTTGAGCCACGCTTTCCCCAAAGATGGGAGGAATGGCTCCCTCTCAAAGTCGAGGCACTTTCTTTACATCTAGTAGAATGTTTCCTTTGTGTTCGCTTAAGTACCTATCAAGTGCTTCTCGTAGTGTCAAGCACTTATCTTGTCTTTCGATTTCAGTGGTCGCTTACTCACAGGTACTTTTGACACCAGTGATCCAGTAGTAGTGGATGAGATGGAGCCGCGAAAAGCCGAATTTTTTTTCACCCTTTGCCATAATCAGACATGCAGCCGGGGACAAAACACTTCGTTGCGCTCTGTCCGGTCACCCCGCCTTTTCGCACACAGATACGAAGATATCTTGTCCCTTCGAGCATAAATAAGCACATTCGAAACATTTTAAACAAAGGGTGTAACACGAAAATGTCTGGCCAACACTGCCGCACAGGTGTCCAGGCGTGGAAAACAAGCGTACGTCTGCTTTGCCATTCTTTTCAGCAGAACCTTTTGTCTGCTTTGTCTAAAGATTTGTGATAGTGTTTCGAATATGTGTAAGAAAAGCAGTGCGATGTATTTATTTTGCATTTCATTAAGAGAATGCATATTTACGTTTCGTTTGGTGTCATACTGAGGCAGCCGAGCAAACGGTTTTCTAGCAGACGACATGCTCCACGCTTGCTGCTCCCTGCTGATGCCGCCGCTGGTTTCCTCCAGTTTGTGCATGCCCTTGTGAGCGCAGCTGTTCAATCGTTTTTATGCGCCTCGACAGGTGGTGCTACACGTAGTGATACGTGCCGAGAGAGGAGGAAGCATGTGCTAAAGCAGGAAGAGAAGCGGAGGATAAGAGCAAAGGAATGAGTTAGACCACTGCGTACGCGTTGCACAATGTGTCCCACACGAAAGTGTGGGGCGGCGGCGGAGTCGGCGTTCCTCCCTTATCTTACTCTGTGGTTGGAACTCTTGGACCGTCAGCCTTAAAAATCCCTAAATTAAGAATCCTGCAACACCTTTCAAGCATGGTCAGAAAAAACTGGTCGTCAAGGCTCTCAAGAACATGCGTGCCATATATTATAGCCTAGCAAGCAGCCTGGAATTTACAATAACTTCTCAATGTCAGCTTAAAATAGCTTTTTCTTCTCTTGACAAATGATGTTATTGGCTCAAAAATCACTGCATCACAGGCCGAGTATCAGATATTAGCCGATTTGAGCGTGGCATGCTTGGTCCTTAGTGGAGTCATCGTGTAAGGCTTTTTCACGCATGTGTGCAGGATCACACTGAAAAGTTGTGTATTTGAAGAAAAAGAAAAGAAAAGGAAAACTGATCAAGGTCACGAGGCGTCATGACAATTGTTTTTTTTTTTTTCACGTGCCATCTCTCCGAGCCAGCACTTTCGTTGAGACTAGAGAATGCAGTTCCAGTGTGCGACATATCTTAGCCGCTCCGCTCATACTGAACAGATTCTGAAAATTTTTGCATCTATGAATTTGAGAGGTAATAAACTCTTTTAGTGAATTCATTCCATGGCTACTTGGAAAAGTGTTGCAGGGCCCCTTTGAGAACTGCCCCTATACATATTTCCAAGCTGCTGACGGCTTTGGAAGGTTCTTAGTTTATCTACAAGCTGCGTGTTAGGTAGTTTCAAGTGACCTCTGAACATATTGTATGAACACCATTAGGATAGCACGTAGCTTTAGGCTTGCAGTAAAAAAAATCATTATTCTCGGGTTGCAAAGAGGGTTTTTTTATTTTGTACTTCTGGTACGTGGAACCTTTACAAAAATGAATGTGTAATAAGGGGGCACCTTTACGGTGCAGGCTTTCAGATTTGTTTTGTAGGAAGGTGCCTTGATCTTCTGACTTTTTCTTAGTAAATATTTGGAACTGGTGAGGAGCGAGGCCTGAATCAATAAGCTTGAATGGAGCCTGTGACCGCCGTTCTCAATGGGACACTTCTGCATGCAGATCCGTCGGACAATCCGGGGCCTGTCAAGTGGTCGCGACCATATTTTGACTGTGAGCGATCCAACAAGTGGGTGTACGGTGCCACCTCGCCCATTCCTGACATCTTTCCACGTCACACACAGTGGCGTCACATTGAAATCCCCAAGTAAGTGCCTGCTCACGTGATTGCTGCTGCAGTGCCCAGTGGTGGGAAAGCTGCACCCATAGAGTTTCATACAATGATACCTAGAGGAGAATCTGACGCTGTGATTGTGTAACCCCATGAGAATACCGTATTTACTCAAGTATTTGTCACCTCGCATAATTCTTGCACCCCCCGAATTGCTAAAAAATTATGATTTTTTTTCCTTGTGTAGTTATCGCACCCCCCAAAATTGCTGCTAGAACGCTGTCCGCTTCTAACGACTAATGATGATAGCACACGACTGGGCGACAGCCTAGAGCGCATCATGCGAACTGCTGTCGCACGGAGCCCTAATCTAATGCAACCGAAGCCACAAGTTGCAAGTACGCGTTTGGCTTGCCATGGCAGCGTGTTAGTGCTAGTCCATGCAGTGTGTGTGTGTTACGTTGTTCTGTGATTACGCTACGGGTCGGTACGCAAGCTACACAGAGACTTTCAAGTTGAAAGTCATTCACCATGTATTAGAACCTAGCAACAGGGCTGCCGGGAGGCACTTTGGAGTTGATGAATTTCGTGTCCGGTACTGGCGATGGCAGCACGCACAGCTGAAGGCCACCAAAAAGACGCGCCGGGCCTTCCGTGGGCCTAAGATCGGAAAATATTCACAGGTGGAGACGGCTATACTCGACTACGTCAAGGGTCTCCGTGCAGGCTGGTGTGCCGTATATATCAAATTAATGAAGAACCAGGTGCGCATAATTGCCAAGGAGGAGGGCGTCCCGGCGTGAGATTTCTGTGCGAGCAATGGATGGGCCACACGCTTTATGTGCCGAAATGAACTGTCACTCAGAAGACGAGAACGATTTTGTGTCAGCGGCTACCCTCGGCATATGAAGACAAGATTGTAGATTTTCATCGGTTTGTGATTCGGAATCGGCAAGAAAATATCTTTTTGTTCTCCCAGATTGTGAATGCCAATGAAACGCCACTCAATTTCAACATGCCGTGCAGCCCAACAGTCGAACAAAAAGGTGTGCAGAGTGTGCACATCGGGACAACAGGTGCAGAAAAGCAGCGGTGCACAGTCATGCTCGCTGTTACAGTGGACGGACGGGAGCTGCCACCTTTTGTAATTTTTTAAAGAAGTACCCTCCTGAAAGCAAAGTTTTGCCCTGGTATTCAAGTAACAGTGCAGGAGAAGGGGTGGAGGACTGCTGATGTGAGGGTCGCACTTGGTGAAAACTGTTTGGGGAGGCCCTCCTAGCGCACTTCTGTACTCGTCGCTGCTGGTAGTCGACAGCTTCTGCGGTCATGTTGTCGACTCCGTTCGGACGAAGCTGAAAGAGCTGCGGACTGATTTGGCCGTTTTCTCGGCGGCCTGGTATCGATGCTGCAGCCTCTGGACGTTTTCCTTGAACCAGGCGCGCATTCGAGGATAATGTTCGGATGCTGAGTACAGAATCTAGGGCCGAACACAACCATGCAATTACTTCTGGAGGCAAAATAAGGAAGCCGCCAGTGGAGCTCCTTTGCATGTGGATTACCGAGGCATGGTCCATGATGTCCCCCCAGAAATCATAGTCCGCAGTTCCAAAACAACTGGGATTTCCAATCGCTTGGACGGGATGGAAGACGACGTGGTACACGACAGTGGTGTTGGAGACGATGTCGAAGCTGGCAGTGACTCTGATGAGGTTGCTATCAGCGACTCCAGTTTTGACTCGGACTCTGAGTAGTTCGGCCACGAGACTTTATTTGCTAGTGTATTTAGTGGTGCAAATAAATCTTGCTTTGTATTGAACCTAGGGTGGTATTGTTAAGGTAAGTTTTAATTAGTACTTCTCAAAGCTTGTAGTTAGTTGGTGTGGGAACCCCAATTTGCAGCCACTAAGTTTTCTTTAATATTTTTCTTAGTGCATTGTAAGTTTTAGCAGAAAGTTTTCCCTGCGTGATTCTCGCACCTCTAACTTTTCATCCTTTTTTTTTCTTTTTCGAAAAAAAAAAAAGTGGACAATTGTTCGAGTAAATACGGTATGAGTAGTACAGGCTTCGGATTGGAATGGGTTAGCCAGCAAACTATCTACGAATCCTTTTCTACAGTTTCAGTATTGTTTTTTCTCGGGCGTGAGTAGTGGGTTACGGTTGCAATGCACTGAAGCACTGCCTTTGTTGCTCAAAGAGGCTGAAAACCACTAGGTCTGAGATTTACTGGGGCTTCAGAGCTTTGTGAGACACAGGTCCTGAAATGACAAAAAAATCGCAAAAAAGCGGATTTTTGAAAAAGTTCGTGAAGTTCAAACATGTAATGATCTCTCGGCGAAACCTGAAAGCTGTATTCAATTGAGAAATAATAAAAAAACAGCATTTTCAATGTCCAGGTGGAGGCGAAATGACTGAAAATTGGCTAAATATGTTTGAAGTTCGCGCGCTCATAACTCCTGAATGCAGCGACTGGACGCTGCCATCTTGGTGTTGTCTTGAAGTTGCTTCTGAAAATGGCGCCGATGCAGCAAGAGTGATGCTACCACCCCGAAGCGGGGCGGTTTGGGCTAGTTGGTGTGACGTGACGATTGTATAGCGCGAGAACAGAACGATGACAAATTCTTCTTCCTGTACCTCTGTCCCTCATTCTGTTCTCGCACTAAAACAATTGTCATGCTACCACTTCGTTTCCAAAGGTTGCTCGCACGCACATGATTGGTCAAAGCGCGTGCTCGGCCTGCGCGCTGGCCTCCTGTTGTCCCGCCAGCAAGGGAGGGGGCCCAGGGACAGAATTTGAGCATGTATTTTCATTGGTTCTTCTTGGCTGTGGAATGCGCCGATATCGTTGCACGAGTGGCAGCACTGAAATCAACGCTGTTATAATTTTAATTCAAGAGGCACACTACGTACCTCGATTTCGAGCTAGGGCAATATACATCGGCTCTTTTTGTTATGGGAATGATGTTATGTCATGTGACATGTCCACAAAGATTGTTCGCTTTTGATTGACTTGACGCGGCAAGTATAAACAGTATTCATATGGTGGTAGCTAGGCCATATGAGTGATGCTAACAACAGCAAAAACTGTACTTATACTTTCCCAGAAAAAGATCATTCCTGTTTAGAAAGATGTATTTTCGGAACAAGGTCTGTGAACAAGGCCATGCTACGCCAGTAACTAAAGGTGGAAACACATGCCACGTTTTTTAGTGAGCCAAACATATGACGTGCGGCCGATGCCGGCTTGCCGTAAAATGCATTTGCGTGCAAGCCAAGAACAGAGCCCGCCCATGTATGTACAGTCAAACACGGTTATATGAACCCACATATATTGAATTTTCGGGTACATTAAACTCGTAAGTTATCCCTTTGAAATTCATTTGTAAAAGTATAGAAATTCGCACGTTTATATTGAACGGTCGTTTTACCCACCTTCGAATATACCGAACGCCGCGCGAGCTGGAAAGTGCGCTTTGGCACTTGCCCCCCCACCCCCCCCCCCCTGTGCGTGGCAGTGCATCTCCGCGTGCGAGTTTGAAGGCACACTTGGCACTCGCAGCGCCTGGCGATCTCTGCTTTATCTGCGCGGCACCACGCCTCTGCCAAAACCCGAAACGCTCGAAAAAAGGTGAGGGCGAGATGACTCGTACTGTACAATCTCTAATTTGCAGTCTTTTTTTTTTTCGTTTATCTTTCTCTCTTATGCTTTCTCTGTGTACCCGTCGGCTCGGAGAGCAGGCACGAAGGAGCCGTTGTCCTTTTCCTTTCGCCTTTTATTTTTTGTTGCTGTTTTGTGAGTTTTGATCAGCCAACCACAGCTCGTGCCTTTTGCTGTTGCCCTCGCAGGTGGCCATCGCCTCACAAGCACTTTGTTGCTTTCGCTGATGCGTCGCCTACGTACCACCGCATGTGCAGCATTTCTTTTTTTTGTGCATGGTGTGCATAGCAGCTGCGGACTTCTTGAATTGTCGACTTCTATGGCCAGTGTCAATAAGCGCAAGACCTTTGACTTTGTGACGAAGTTGAAGGCTATTCAGCATGTTTAGACGGGCGAGAAATGTTAGACCATCACGGACGGCTTTGGGATGCCACGGAGCACTCTGAGAACCTTGTTGAAAAACAAGAGATATCGCGGCAAAGGCAGCGGAACAGCGAATGTCGGAAGCCTGTCATGTGCGCGCTTCTGCCCACAGGAATGTAGAAAATGCACTCTAGGCTTGGTTTATAGAAGTGATGAAAAGAACATTCCGGTGGATGACCCGATGCTGATTGTCAAGGCCAAATGGTTTTCCGCTGCACTCGGTGAAACAACGCCGCCGACAACAAAGGGTGGCTTTATTGGCTTAAGCAGTGCTACAAAATCGGTGGCGAAAGCAATTCTGGCGAAAGCGAAGCTGTCAGCAGCCAGGACACCCTACAGTGGATGACGAAGGAGTGGTCGGAAATCTCCGTGAATTTTACTTATGCACAATGCTTGGCGAGACGTGAAGACAGACACAGTGGTCAACTGCTTCCGCAAGGTAGGCTTGGAGACGGCAGAACTTGTAGAAACCGGTGAAGACCACGACGAGCGCATAGACAATGCGTTTTGCGAGTTGTCATCCCGCTTTCCCAGCCGCAGTTTTACACGAAGTGTCTGTTGACGACTTCGTGGCTGGCAGCTCCAGGCCGACAATGTCCATTCTAACAGCTCATGTGAGACGAGGAGGATCGTCCGGACGAGGCGTTGGCTACACATGCGTACTCTGCCACTAATGTGGCGGCGGCATTCGGCATCATTCGCCGTTGTATTGGCCACATGGAGGGAACCGGGCTGTCACACCTGGACAGCTTTGAAAAGATCGAGACTAGCGTCTTCAACATTTCCAAAACGAGAAGCAGGCCACGATTAGCGATTTTTTTTTTTCATGCAAATAAATCATTCTGTTGCAGCGTGTTTGCGGAATTATTTGTCTTTTTTGATTGCACTTATTGTAGGTGATGATCGGCTACAAGTAAGCTCTCGGTGCCTCTATTTTATTATATCAAATTTTTTATAT